ACTGCCTGGCCCTGCACCATGGTTGCCATGTTTGAGACCATTGCTGCAGCCACTCTGTTAGTCCATCTCATTGAGGGTCTTCTTTTGTTGCTGACCCTGTACTTGTCCAGACACGATGTCGTGATCCCTCCTGATAGCATGCCCAGTGTATATGAGACAAAGTTTCATTATCCTTGCTTCTAAGGAGCATCTGGCTGTACTTCATCCAAGACAGTTCATTCTTTTGGAAATCTGTGGTATATGCAATACTCTTCAATAGCATAATTCAAGAGTATCAATTCTTCTTTTGTCTTCCTTATTCATTTTTCAGCTTTCACATGCATCTGAGGCATAAGGTACAGCTTTGGTCAAGTGCACCTGAGTCATGAAAATGACATGTTAGCTTTTTAACACTTTAAGGAGATCTTTTGCAGCAGATTTGCCCAATGTAATCCATCCATTGATTTCTGGACTTCTACTTTCATGGATGTTGATTGTGGATCCATGCAAAATGAATTCCTTGATAAATCCAATATTTTCTTCATGCTGCTCATTGATCCAGTTATGAGGATTTTAGTTTTTTCTATATTAAGGTGTAATCCATACCAGAGGCCTTGATTTTCATCAGTAAATGCTTCAAGTCCTCTTTACTTCAAGCAAGATTTTGTCATTTGCATATCACAGATTGATGAGTCTTCCTCCAATCCTGTTGCTGTGTTCTTTTTATAATTCAGCTTCTTGGATTATTTGCTTAGCATATAGATTGAATAAGTAATATGAAAGAATACAACCCTGACAAGCACCTTTCTGGATTTTATACCATGCAGTATCTCCTTGTTCTGTTCGAATGACTGCCTCTTCATCTGTGTACAAATTCTGCATGAGCACATTGAAGTATTCTGGAATTCCCATTCTCCACAGTATTATCCACCACTTTCTGTGATCCATACAATGGAATGTCTTTGCATAGTTGGTCAAACACAGCTAAACATCTTTTAGATATTCTCTGCTTTCAGTCAAGATCCATCTGGTTTTCTACGTCCTCTTCTAAATAACAGCTTGAATTTCTGGAAGTTCTCTGTCAGTGTACTGCTGCAAGTGTTTATGAATTACCTTCAGCAAAGTTTTATTTATGTGTAATATTAATGATACTGTTCAACAATTTCTGCATTCTTTGAGGTCACCTTTCTTTGGAATGGGTACAAATATATATCTCTTCTAGTCCATCGGCCAGGTAATTGTCTTCCAAACTTTTGGCATAGATGAGTGAGCATATCCATCACTACATCCATTTCTTTAAGCATTTCAATTGGCATGCCACCAATTTATGAAGCCTATTTTCCACCTATACCTTCATTGTATCTTGGACTTCTTCAGTAGTTTTTCAGTTCTTGATTATATGCTACCTCCTGAAATGGTTGAACATCAACCAGTTATTTTTTGTAACATTGATTTTCTGTATTCCTTCCATCTTCTTTTGATATTCCCTACTTTGCCCAGTGAACTTTTCAATATGGTAACTTGCAGCTTGATTTTTTTTGTTATGTTTTTCTTTAGTTCTTTTACTCTGAGAAATGCTGAGCATTTTCTCTGCTTTTAGTGTTCTAATGCCAGGTCTTTCACGTTTAATTTTCCTTTTGTCTTCTCAAGTTGCCCTTTGAACAAAATCTGTTCAGTTCTTGTACTTTATTATTTATTCTTTTTGATTTAGCTATTTTATGTTTAAGGGCACGTTTCAGAGTCTCTTCTGGCTTCCATTTTGGTTTTCCTTTCCTGTAGTTTTAATGATCCTTTGCTTTTGATTATGTATTATGTCTTTGGTATCATCCTGCAACTCATTTGGTGTTGAGTCATTAATGTTCAGTATGTCAAATTTGTTCTTGAGATGGTCTAAATTCAGGTGGGATAAACAAAAGGTCATATTTTGGCTCTCCTAGATTTGTTCAGATTTTGTTTTGTTTTAGCCTGAACTTGCATATGAACAACTGATAGTGTCTTCCACAGTTGGCCCCTGGCCTTGTTTTGGCTGCTGATGTGAGCTTCTTCATTGTCTCTTCTAACAGATGTAGTCAGGTTGATTCCTCTGTATTCCATCTGGCAAGTGACACATGTATACTTAACCATGTATGTTGTTGGACAAAGGCATTTGCAATGAGTAAGTCATTGTTCTGAGTTCTATCATGTCGTCTCTGGAGTCATATCTATCACAAAGTCATAGTTTCCCATTGCTTCTTTGTTTCCAACTTTTGTATGCTAATCACCAGTAATTATAAATGCATCTTGATTGCATGTTTGATTGCTTTCAAGCTGCAGAAGTTAGTTAAATAATAAATATCTTCATCTTTGGCACTCGTGGGTAGTACATAAATTTGAATAAGAATCATATTAATTCGTCTTCCTTGTATGATTGTCCAATTCAAAATAGCTAATATCAGTCCATCTCTAAGTGACTTCAAAGAGGGCTTTTTTTTTTTTTTTTTTTGCGTTGTGGTTTGCCTATGTTCTTATTTTCTGGTTTACTAGGTTGCCCCTTAAACTAAGTGGTGGTGTTTTGTTGTTAGGTGCCATTGAGTCGGTTCTTAGACTAATAGCGACCCTGTGTAGGGTTACCGAGGAGCAACTAGTGGGCTTCAGCTGTCAACTTTGTGGTTTGAAGTCCAGTGCTGATCCCATAGTGTCACACCAGAAGTCCAAATTAAGTGTCGAATCTCAAAATATTTAACTAATTGTGTGGTTTTTAAGAAAGTTTTTATTGTGAATTGAGAGCTCGTTTACATGGGAGAACATCAGCTTTACATTCATCCTGTCGCATTTCGTTTCATTGCAATGATTACAGTCCCCTCCTTGCATCATCAAACAACCAAAGGACATAGCCCCTCTCCCTCCCTGAGTTCAAAATCCCTATCCGCTCCATCTCTCCACATAATCATCTCTGCCTCCATCTCTGGTGTCCCTGTTTCTCTGGATAGGGTCCTGAACTCTGCTCTTCTTCCTTGATGGTCCGAGGGTCCTCTGCTCCTGGACTGCAAAATCAACCACTCTCCTTTTGTTACAAAATGTCTACCTTTACATTTGCAACATTCACAGTCAGTCCTGATAGCAATTATTTACTATGGAACCACAAGAGTCTTATCCCCATCTCCTTTCACCAGCTCCTTCCAGACAGGTTGGAAACCACTCAGTGGAGATTCTACCTTCCCCCCACCCTCTGGAACTAGGCTCCCTCATGAAAGCTTGTAAGCCAGTCACTTCTTGCCTTTGTAGCCCCTCATTTTGGGTAGCCAATTTCTAAGTTGCTCATCCATCAACCCTTTGTAACAAGGGGGTGGGAATGACCCTTGCTATAAAGATTTGTTCCCTCTTTTGAGCTACTACATCCATAAGCATAGGTCAAGTTCATCGAATTGTAGCAGATTACTCTTTTCCCTCTTTTTTCCACCTCTAGTCAAGTTCTGATCATCCAGCCATTGAAGCCAGGTCAAGTGGGTACTATCTACAAGTTTGGGTGTTCTTGTGCATTTCCCCTCACTTATTATCAGCTGGGTGCTTCACTCTCCTCTCTAGTCCTCTGTGACCATGTCCCTGTTCCTGGGCCCAGGAGTCCCCAAGTCTTGCCATACTGCTGGCTAACCAGGTCTCAACCCAGGTTAACAGGAGTCTGTTGAATGTGGTTGGACTTAGCTCACAATTTCATTGTTGTTTTTCCTCCACTTCCCCGTATCGGTGACCAGTGTGGTCACCTGCAAGACCACATGCCTGCTCGTATATTCTCTTTGAGTCTCAGTCTTAAAAGGGGGTTTGACCTGAGGGAACCCGACTGCTTACCTTGATGGCTCCCTGGCGAACAACTTGCTTGTTCTTATAGTAGTCAGTCAGACTGCCATTATTGTTTTTGATTTTTCCTGCTGGCCTTTCTTTCAAGAAGTATCTTCTGTTTGTATAGCTGCTCCAGGATGGTCTGCTTTCAAGTAGAAATTTCCCACCTCAGAAGATTCTGAATGGGGATTAGGATTCCACCTATGTATGGTCTTATGCAGTGCAAAGGCTCTGCAGGAAGCCTCCTTCACTGGGCAAGTTCTAGCCCCATTTTAGGTATTCCAATCAGTTATAGGCTGAAGATGGACTTACAGGCTTTCTAGGGTGATGTTTCTGGCTATTCCTTTCTCTCCCCTTCAAGTGTCTATTTTATCATAATAGGCAAGGAAAACCATGATTCAAAAGACAGCCAAGCATCTTAACATTATTTCCCCTCTTTTACCCATTCAAACCATGCCTCAATCCCTGTATCACAGAGCCCTTTTTTCCAAAGTTGAGCATACATCATTATTTACCTCTGTCCCACTTAGCCCCTACCAACCTGCCTAAATCTTCTCCCATGCCTTGTTGTTCTGCCTTGTTCTTCCATTCCCCTCCCCCTTAACTTAAATTTTTTATGTAGTTGATTTTGTTATCTTCTTTCCTTTCCTTAGACTGGTTATTTGCCCCCCCCCCCCAACTCCCAATTTTTCCTTAACTTTGCATTATATTATCTGTGCATCAAGTAATATAAAGATTATTATTTTTGTTGCTAAGTGCCATCAAGTTGTTTCCGACTCATAGTAACTTGTATAGGGTTTTCAAGGAGCAGCTAGTGAGTTTAAACCACTGACCTTGTGATCCAAACCGACCTGTGGTCCAATGTTTTATCCCATAGTGCCACACCAGGACTGCATACCAGAACTCCATACCAGTATAGATAATAATAACTATATTATTGAATTTATTGGGTAAATATCTACTAAGACTTTTTTCTGAATTCCATGGACTATGCTATAATATTTTGTTTCCTGCATTATAAAATTGGCAGAGTGGTTGTGACTAATTTCTGCAGAAGTCTGTTATTGATGACTACATAAAGTTCTGACCGATTAAGAAATGCTGTTCTTGGACAGATGGGTAGTAGGAATTATTTTCTAGCCTTATTGTTGTTCCATGTATCATCTCATCAATTACTGTGAATTTTTTTCTTTCTGTCTTCATAGCCACTCCCGGAGAAGTTTGTGGTAAAAGGTGTTGTAGATCGTTTTTCAGAAGAGTTTGTAGAGACCAGAAGAAAAGCTTTGGATAAATTCTTAAAAAGAATCACGGATCATCCTGTGCTCTCCTTCAATGAACATTTTAATGTTTTCCTCACTGCTAAGGTAAGGATAGAATTTTGCATGTTCTTCCCTAGGGCTCTTTCTTAAAAACCCTTTTCATCTCTCATAAAGTCACCTTTATGGTCCATAATAGCAGGTGTCATAAAATTGCTGCTTTTCTGGTGCCTATTTGCACTAGCAAGATTTCAGTATTAGAATGCAGGAGAAAACAAACCCTTGCACAGAGGCAGTTAGAATACTGTCACTGGCCCAAAACGTTTTTCTGTCTCAGTTCTCAATTGATTCCGTTGGACCAACAATGGGCATGGGAGGAAAAGAGCATTGTTGACTGCTTAGTAAGGGAATGCTTCATAAAACAAGGAAACTAAGGTTTAGGAAACTTGCTTGTACTTGGCTTATGTGGCCTAACTAGGATTCAAAATTGGTTCTTTGTGATTCCTGAGACCAAACTTTCTGTTTACATTATACTGACTGAGCAAGAGCACTTCAAAGTAACCATATTCCTATTAAGTAGGTATTTTCTAACGAAATATTTGTTCCTGCACATTTGGCCAAAATTCTTTGTTTTCAAAACCAAGATGATGTTTCACTGGTTTTCCTCAACACTTTGCTGTTGGTAGAACTGGCAAGAAAACCTAAGGTGCTCTACTTATTGTCTGTGGAAATGAGGTCAAGTGCTCAGACTCTCATGCCAACTTCCTTCCAGTCCCATCTGTTTAGTTTCATGTATCATATTCCCATATCCAGGCCTTAGGTCATTTGTTCCATTTTGGCAAGGGTATTGAGGCCCAGGTATTTTCCTGTTTTCTTTTTCAAAATGGCAAAATTGAAAACTATTTACAGATAACATTGATTGACATTAGAGCCTTTAGAGACGATGTTAACTGTACAATCAGAGGAAACTACATGGCAAAGTCCTTTAATTTTTCAGGCTTTTAACCTTGTTGGTGGGCATTGCCATTTATCACCTCTTTTTCCCAGAGGCCTTTTCCTCACAGGTCTACCTTGTATCCTTTTTTGAAATAAGTATCTCCTGGTATGATGAGCCTCAGGTATAATTCTTTCAAGTTATTCTGGAAGGTTAAAATCTGTACTATTCTCCAAAAAGGAATCCTGGTAGCGTAGTGGATTATGAGCTGGGCTGTGAACTGCAAGATCAGCAGTTCAAATCTACCAGTTGCTCTGCAGGCCAAAGAAGAGGCTTTCTGCTCCAGTAAATATTTACAGCCTCAGAAACCCTGTAAAGGGTCCCTATGAGTAGGAACCAACTAGATGGCACACAACCACCAGCACCATTCTCCAAAAGTTCAATTTAAGGTCTCACTCAAGTTTTCTCGCTTGTCTAGAAAAGCTCTTAAACGTAATCATTTTTATTGACCAAAAAAAAGTAGTGAAACCTATAAATGCAGTAGCTTAGAATAGGAAACAAGTCCCTGCTGCAAGAACTATACCCACCCCCTCCACACAAAGGGTAGATACGGATGGGCAAATTGGACATTGGCTACCCAAAATGGGGGGAGAGATACAAAGGCAAGAAGTGACTGGCTTACAAGCTTTTAAGAGGGAACCTAGATCCAGAGGGCGTGGAGGAAGGTAGAGTCTCCAGTGTGTGGTGTCCAGCCTGTCCAGGAATGGCTGATGAAACGAAATATAGATAGGTCTCTTGTGATGCATTGGTGAATAATTGTTATCAGGACTGATTGTGAGGGTTGGAAATCTAAAGATGGACATTTTGTAACAAAGAGGGGAGTGATTAATATATCAGTCTAGGAGCGGAGGACCCTGGGACCATCAATGGAGAAGAGCGAAGAGCGGAATCCTACCCAGAGAGGTAGTGAGGCCTGAGATGGAGGCAGAGAAGACAATGTCAAGAGATGGGGGGAGGGGGGTCTGGGGGCTCGGGATCAGGAGATAGAAAGGGGCTGAGGACTGTGGTGGGAGGGGGGTGCAGGTTTACAGGGTACACCCCTTGGTTGGGTGAGGATGCATGGACAGGATGATAACTATGCCAACGAAATGATGGATGATGGAATGAATATAAAGCTGATGTTCTCCCATGTAGATTATCACACAATTCACAATAAAACATTAAAAAAAAAAAAAAAGTCGCGAAGAGAAAGTTTTGACTCTTGATCATTAGGAATCTATATAAAGAATAAGTAGAAATATGGGGGGCGGTTTATTGGGGGGGAAGCAAGGCGATGTTTATCTATTTGTAGGTTGTTGTTGTTAAGTGCCAACCCATAGTGACTCTGTATAGGGTTTCCGAGGAGTGACTGGTGAGCTTGAACCACCAGCCTCGTGGCCCAAAGCATTATGAAATATTCTAAGCAAACAAAATACAAGCTCCTTTAATGTCTTAATCAAAATTTAACTTTCACATAAGTGAGGACATAGACTTTGGCTTTAAGAAGAATACGTTTCAGTCTTCTCTCTAGGTCTGTATTAGCCCACTAAATAGCTTATCCTGTCTTTTAACACATCTTGAATAACTTGGTCTTGTTCTCAGATGAGCCACTTTACACGCTCTTCTGTCATAGGAACTGCAGACAGCCATCTTTTTCCTTATAATGACATGGTCTTATCACAGATCAGAAGTTTCCTTAAGAAGAAGCCAGTAATGTACTGGGAAAGTAGGGAGGAAGCTCAGTATTAACTGTTCAAGCCAGAACTTTCATCTTTGTCAGAATGGATTTAACAATCCAACTTGTTAATTAATTTGTTGTTGTTAAGTGCCATCAAGTTAGTTCTGACTCATAGCAACCCTATATAGGGTTTCCAAGAAGCAGCTGATGGGCTTGAACCACTAACCTTGTGGCTAACAGTCCAGTGCTTATCCTACAGTGCCATACCAGGACTCAGAAGTGAAGCCTAGGTAGTCCAACTAGCCCATTTTATATCCAAAAAATATTTCCTATGAAAGCAATTTCAAGAACTCTGAGGTTTCAGTAATGGTCTTATGAAGGCCTGGTACCTATGAGGACATTTTTTTTTTTTTTTATTACGATATTTTTTTCTGTTTTAGTTGAAAGTTTACATATTATTAGGTTCCCATATAACAATGTCTCCACAATATGTTCAGTGACATTGATTACATTTTTCACAGTGTGACAACTTTCTCACTATTTCTGTTCTGCCTATTTCATTTCCAGTAATCTTGATTTCCTGCTCCCTTGCCTTTTGCCTTTGCTTTTGAGTGAATGTTGACTGTTCAGTCTCATATAGATGATTTTTAAAGAAACACAGTACTCAGAGGTGCTTTGTTTATTCTATGAGCCAAATCTGTTACTTCGCTAAAAGATGACCTCATGGATATGTTCATTAGAAGGGGAGATAGAATCTTTAGACCATACTCTTGGGTAGCCTGACTGTGAAGTGAAGGAGAGAGTGAGAGAGAAGCTGGATAGAATTGCTGCTTCTTTAAAGATAAGCAATCCTTGCTGAAAATTTAGAAGTTCAAGATACAGATAAAATAGAGGAGATAATGACGGGGCAGGGCCATGGCTGAGGGGAGATACAGATAGGAACAACCGTGAATGTGATGGAGCACATTAAATTTGTTCACGTCTTCTTCTTAGGACCTGAATGCCTACAAGAAGCAAGGAATGGCATTACTGACCAGAGTGGGTGAGTCAGTAAAGCATGTCACTGGAGGCTACAAGCTGAGGAGTCGGCCTCTTGAGTTTGCAGCCATAGGTGACTACTTAGATACGTTTGCGCTCAAACTAGGAACCATTGATCGTATAGCCCAGCGGATCATCAAAGAAGAAATAGGTGAGCTCTTTGTTGAGATCTGGGTCATGCTTAGGGATTGTGTCTACAGAAACAGCATTCATGTGTGCTAATAAGTAGAAATAGCAGAGTGACTAAACTAGACCTTTGACAACTGTTGAGTAGATTCAGGGTGTGGAGGAAGTAGTTGTAGCCAGACTGTAATTTTGGCCTTCATCCTTTGTCCTGCATTTCAGCTCTGTTTGCGTTTCCCATAGTAAATAACCACTTTTAAGCCTCTGGGCTTTTGCACTTTTATGTCTCTCAACTTTAGCTTAAAACCAAATCCATTGCCATCAAGTAGCTTCCAATTCATAAATGCCTTGTAGAATTTGTCTGTTAACCAGAAGGTCAGCGCTTCAAGCCCACTAACTTCTCCACAGGAGAAAGATGTGGTAGTTTGATTTGTAGTCGTGGAAACCCTATGGAGCAGTTCTACTTTGTCCTGTGGGGTCATCGAGTAGGAATCTACTCATTGGCAACAGTGAGCTTGAGTTTTAAAAGTAGAGCTATCTATTCAAATGCTTAGGTATCTTTTCTGATACGAAGATCATTCAAGAGGACAACATGGTGACCTGTGTTGTCCAAGGTTATGACCCTAATGTGCCATAAGACTGCCCCCTCACTGCTTTTTTCAAACCCACTTCTGCTGATCTGCGCAGTTTATGAGTCTCTGCTTTAGCCTTCTTTGCTGTTGCCACTACTTCCTCCCCACCCCTCCCATGGCTGCCTGCTTTGCCAGGTCCTGGAATATCGGGGCCCTTTGTCTTCTAACTCATATGTAGGTCAGACCGATCTGAACATTGTTAACAATCAAGCTAGCATGTGAGCTCATTGGAAAGCATTCTCTAGGACTTGTCATTCATCAATTATGGAAAAAGAGCAACAGTGTGCTATTGTAATGGCAAGAAATGGTGACACATACTGGACTAGAGTTTCTTTATGGGAAGAAAAAAAATCGCTTTTCCTTGCTGTTTATGCTTGTTCCTGTCCACTGTACCTGATGATGATACCATGTGGGGCCTGTAGCTTCTAGAGATAGCTTTGGGTACTGCCCATACTTAAGTATCATGCTAAATGCATTCTGATTGAACCTAGATGCTGGGGTGACACCTGACTGTGAGACTACACATCCTGTATTAAAATGCTTCCTAAAGTCACAGTATCTTTCCATTGTGACCAATTGTTTTCCTTTACAAACATCCTCATAAACTTGTATGAAACGCTGCTCCTACTATCTTGTTAGGATAATGCTTTACTCTTTGGATAGTTGTTGGTTTTTGAAAATTTTTGGTGGATATAGCTCCTACACTTTTTTCTAGAAAGCATTGTGGACCTCTTGTGTAGCATTGTAGCACCCACATTAAGGATAAGGGACAGAGTGAATAGATGTGATGATGTTAACTATAAAATGGCCAAGGAAACACATTGTGGTATATAGGAAACATAGGCTCTGATGTCATAATACTGGTGATTGGTACCCAGCCAGACCTTATTGGTTTCTCTTCCCCTTGTAGAATACCTCGTGGAGCTGAGAGAATACGGGCCTGTGTATTCCACATGGAGTGCACTAGAGGGAGAGCTGGCCCAGCCCCTAGAAGGTGTGTCGGCCTGTATCGGAAACTGCTCTACAGCCTTGGAAGAGCTGACTGATGACATGACAGAAGACTTTCTGCCTGTGCTCAGGGAATATATTTTATATTCTGACTCCATGAAGGTAAACTGGCTCCTCCTTGCACACTTGAGTACCTTTCTTTGTAGTTGTTATTGTTAAGTGCCATCAAGTCGGTTCTGACTCAACAGCCCTGTGTAGGGTTTCCAGGGAGCAGCTAGTGAGTTTGAATTACTGACTCTGCAGTTAGCAGTCCAGTGCTTATTCTTTGGTGCTATAACAGGACTCCTTCTTTGTAGTAGCCATTATATACGTATATATAAAGTAATTGATCATTAATGTACGTGCATGCGGTATGGATTTCTTTATTGGGTGGGCAAAATCAAGCACAGTGATTTACATTGTGGCCATATAAATAGAATGCACAGTAAATCAAGTACATGAATTACGTGACCAAAACAGTGGTTAGGAAGAAAGTCTTATTAATGTTCTCTGAGAGTTCAAGGAGAAAACAGGATGTGGAAAAAAGAGCAATTGGATAATTAGATTTTTTCAAAATAAAAAATATGATTCCTGAAATAAAATTATTATTAGAAAAACTGGAAGAGGAGGTAGAATTCTAGCAGTACAACAACAACAAAAAAGGTTAGTTGAGCAATAGAACAAAAATGTGAAAGAAAGATAGGAGACATAGAGGATTAATTTCAAAGATCCATCATTTGACTGATAAGAACTTCCCAGAAAACCCGAGGGAAGGATATTATGAAAGAAAGAAAACCAGAAAGTCCTCCAAAACTGAAGGACACGTGTCTTTAGGTTAAAAATATAAAAATGGCATAGAGGCCATGTCTGACCTCCTTTGACTTCACAAGGGGATAGGAGAATCAAACTCAACATCAGCCCAAGGCCGATTACTATGAGGTAGACATCAGACTTGTCTCTACCCTCCCAACTTCTTTACCAGTTCCGTTGACCTTGTGGTTAGCCCTCCAGCGATTATCCAACAGAGCCACATTGATATTGTTAAGTGCCTTCGGGAAGCTTCCAACTCAGTCAGTTTTGATTCATAGCTCCCCTGTAGGATTTCTGAGGAGCAGGTGGTGAGTTTGAATCACTGACCTGTGGTTCAAGCCAACCTTGCATCCAGTGCATTATCGTAAAGCACCACACCAGGACTCCTACTCATTGACAGGTTACCAGGGCTCATTAGCAGGTTACAATTCAGGATCAGAAATGCTCAGGATACAATTCTTCAGTCAGGAGTGCCCACAGGCATGCCTTTGTCTGTTCCTCATCAGCCTTGTAGCTCTTTGGCCTCTGCCTTGCTCAAGCAAAAAGCTCCTCTAGCAGTGCTGATAAATGCCCAAAGAGCACTCCACTCCACTGTAAGCCTCAGCCTGAAGGCATTCGTCTCCAGTTCCATGGGTCAGTAAACCGAGCTTTTCCAATTTACTTTCTGGAGGCAACCCACTCTGCTCGGGAACATCCTGCCCAAAGACTCTCAGCTCTTAACTCACTCTGTGGACACGGAAGCCTACCACTCTGTCTTGTGCTCTTGGTTTTGCTGCCACTGCTCCTCTGCTACTCCTCTCCCACTTCTCTAGTGTCAGAGCTCTGTCCTCTGTGTCAAGGAGGTTAACGCACAGGGATGTTGGGTCTAAATGAAGCACTCCACTCCTGACTCTTCTCTCTTGATGGTAGGAGAGTCCCCATTCTTCCTTCTGAGATAGCTCATTTTAAACCCAGTAAGATGACAAAATTGACCAGTCTCCACATTAGACTTCATGTCCCTTATTTTCAGGGTCTCATGCAGCCATTTCAGAAGAGCTACAAAGACTATGGCTAGAAGAGTCATAATGAAATAATTTACTACACCACAAAATGGACATGCGAATCACCCAGCTTGTCAGTTTGTCTACTGTGGTAGCTTGCATGTTCTTTGTAATGATGGTATTTTAAACACCAGCAGGTTCACCCATGGTGGACAGAGTTCAACAGAGCTTCCAGTCTAAGACAGAATAGGAAGAAGGAGAGGTAGACTACTTCTGAATGTTTACCCACTGAAAACGGTTATGGAAAGCACCAGAACTTTGTCATCTATTGTGCCAGAAGATGAGCCCCTCAGCTTGAAAGGCACTCAAGATAGGACCCAGGAAGAGCTGCCTCCTCAAAATAGTTGACCGTGATGACACAAATGGAGTAAAGCTTTCGGGACCTGCATTTACTAATGGGGCACATCTGCAAACATCCATTAATAACTGGAACATGGAATGCATGAAGTATGAATCTAGGAAAATTGAAAGTTGTCAAAAATGAAATGGAATTCATAAAGATGGTTATTGTAGGTATTAGCAAGCTGAAATGGACTTTTGAATCTGTCATTCATATGGTTTGCTATGCATGGAATGACAGATTCAAGAAATGGAGTAGCATTCATCATCAAAAAGAACATTTCAAGATCTATGTTGAAGTACAGTGCTGTCTATGATAGGATAATACCCATACGTATACAAGGAAAACCAGTTAATACCACTATTATTCGAATTTACATACCAACTACTAAAGTCAGTGATGATGAAATTGAAGAATTCTGCCAACTTCTTCAGTTTGAAATTGATCAAACATTCAATCAAGATGTATCAATAATTACTGGTTATTGGAATACAAAGGTTGGAAACAAAAGGAAGAATCAGTAGTTGAAAAATAAGGCCTCGGTGATCAAAATGATGCTGGAGATCACATGATAGAATTTTGCAAGACCAATGACTTTTTCATTACAAATACAAATCTATGTTGGAAGAAGTACAGTCAGAATGCCCCTTAAAAGCCAGCATAGCAAGACTTGTCTCTCATACTTTGGACATGTTATAAGGAGGCACCAGTTCCTGGAGAAGGGCATCATGGTTGGTAAAATGAAGGGTCAGGGAAAAAAAAAAGAAGATCCCCATCAAGATTAATTGACACAATGGCAGCAGCAGTGGGCTGAAGTGTGACATTAATTATGAAGATGGCGCAGGACCAGGCATTGTTTCATTCTATTGTGCATAGGTTCACTAAGAGTTGGAATCAAACTTAATGGCACCTAACAACAAAAACTGCCCCAGCAAAAGGAATGAAAAGAGAACCATCCATTATCATTGTGAAATTGTAGAACACAGTGATAAGTTTCTAAAAGCTTTAGAGAAGAGCTAGGGGAGTCCTGGTGTGGCACTGTGAGATAAAGCACTAGACTGCAAAGTCGGTTTGAACCACAAGGACAGTAGTTCAAACTCACCACCTGCTCCTTAGAAACCCTATACAGGGTCACTATGAGTCGGAATCGACTTGATGGCACTTAACAAGAACAAGGGGAGATGGAAGTGGGAAAATGGGTAGGGGTAGGGGTGTCATATAAAAAAGAAACAAGAATGAGAATGACTTTGGTTTAGTAACAATGGATGTGACACAGGAACTATGAGGAAAAATTATTGCCAGTATTGAATTCTGTATGCAGACTAATAGTGGGGTGCAGGATCTAATAACTGCTTGGCTATGTTGTTTGCGCCCCTGCCTGTACTTGGACTGGCAGGAGAACCCTAGAATGGTAGCATCAGTTAGTGAAAGAGATCAGTCTTTGTAACCACCACCGCCACCACCAAAGTGTAATATGTGACTCGGTGTTGAACATCTGTGCTTCCAAGTAGCTCTCTTCTTATTTTCCAAAGGCGACCTCTGGATAATTAATCTGTCTCTGGGGCAGATGTTAAGAAGGCATTGGGTAAACACTGATAACCTTTTAGGCAACATTGGGTTGTAAAGATGGGAAAGCAGAGAAGTTATGGGGAGTTATGAAAAGATTCTTTGGTTCATTGAATCAGTTCAGACTCCTGGTGACCTGTGTGTGTCAGGGTAGAACTGCACTCCATCAGGTTTTCAGTGACTGGTTTCTTGGAAGTAGATCACCAGGCCTATTTTCCAAGGTGCCTCTGAGTGGACTTGAACCTCTGACTGCTTGGTTAGCAGCCAATCACATTAACCATTTACACTACCCAGGGACAACAGCTTGAGAAGGGGAGTCAAAAATAATGAATTAAAATAGTTTGAAAGCTCTTTAAAAAACCCCAAAACACCCAACTTTATTGTGGAAAACTTTAAGTATATACAACAGCAGAGAGAATAATATAATAAACTCCCTGCACCCATCACCCGTATCCCATCTTATTTTATCTGATAGGAACATTTTAAGGCTCTTGATACATACTGAAGTGTGGGCAATCGAAAATGGAACCTGTTTTTGGTAGAGTAAATTACTGTTCCTGTATACTCTATAAATACTTTCAAAGACAGGATTGTGTCTGGGTCTCACAGTAGTAAGGGAAAGTGGTATGAATTTCTGTATGTGTAAGGTGGACTTGGTGGTGGCAGTGGTAAGCATAAAGCTCAGGTATGATGTCATTAGCCTGATAAAGCTTTGTTGTTAACTATTGGAACTGAAGCTGAAAACCAAGTTTTCTGGCTCCACATCCGCAACTCAGTCTCTTATCACATTGCATTTAAAAAAATTGAGATACCCACTTTACATTTTTAATCCTATGACTGAAATAAGTATAGAAATGTATCCGAATCTACTTAAAATTAGCCAGAATATATTGCTTTAATTATGAATTTGAATAGTATCTGTTTTTGTGAACAAAAATAAATTTTTACAATCCCTGGGGTTCCCCTGGATTTATCCTTTATATTGATATTCCCTTAATTTAAATGTTGAGACAGACCCTGAGTTTATTAGTCTAAAATCCTGATGGATGTGTGTGTGTATATATATATATATATATATATGTTTCTAAAATCCTGATATGTATATGTGCATATGTATATATATACATATACATCTCTGTGGTGTTGCTCTGTGTGCCATTGAATCGATTTGGACTCATGGTGACCTATATAACAGAGTAGAACTGCCCAGATAGTTTCCAAGGCTGTAATCTTTCAGGAAGCAGATTGCTACATCTTTCTACTGTATACCACCAGCTAGTGGATTTGAACCACTGACCTTTTGGTTATCAGCTGAGCTTGTAGCATTGTGTACCCCCAAGGTTCCTTCCAAATATGGTATTGGGATA